AGTTTGATTTAATCTGTATTTTCTTAATTAAATAAAAAACTCTTTAGGTTTCCGGGCTATACTGCATATTTATTTAGGGAAAAAGTGCATTATAGCTCGGTTACAAATAAATAGTATTTTCAGTACAATTTTAATTTGTAATTTTTCAATTAAAGATTTTCAGATTTCCGGTGAAAAATTTTCTTTGAAATGCACTATTTGGATGTTTAACAAACAAATTTTAATGGAAATTGATTGAATTGATTTTGAGGTTGGGAAAATGGGTGATAAGCAAAAATTTCGCCAAGTAAAAAACAGTGAAAATAAGTGTAATTATTGTAAGAAAAACGTCTCAGAGTTTAGTGAGTGTGAAAACTGTGAGGAGAAATACCATCCTAGCTGTTCAGCCAGGGTAGCTAAACATAATAGTGGAAAAAAATTTGTCTGTTGTGATATTGGCAAGAGTGAGGTTAGACCACCAAGCACAACACAAAAAAACAGCGAAAAATCGGACAATTGTTTGGAAATGGACGAAAAAAGGCTTAGGGAGATTATTAAGGAATCATTTAAAAGCTACCTGGGCCCATTTGAGCAGAAAATTGATAAAAAAATTACTGAATTTGGGGCCTCAATTCAATTTATGTCTGATGCTTTCGAGGACCAAAAGCGAGTGTTCGAGGGCGCTCTGATGGAAAATCAAGTCCTTAAAACGGAAAACGAGGAGTTGAAGAAGCGGCTGCAGTCGTTGGAAGGCCGAATGGATGCTTTTGAGGTCACTGAAAAATACCTGGCTACAGATTGTTCTTCAATGAAAGTAGTCTTAACCGATGTGATGGGTGCATAATCTATGTCAAAAGTGACCTCCACATTGAAGATAGGATAATCCAAGATAATAAGTTAAAAATTATCAAAGTCACACTCCAAAAAAACCAAAAATTTGTGGAGATCCTTGCTACATACAGATGTTTTGCCGTTACAAAAGAAGAACTTATTGAAAATTTGGAAAGACTACTGCAGCAATCAAGCATGGATCAAAACAGAGTGTATGTGTTTGCTGGTGACATTAATATAGATCTGTTATCTAAGGAATCTGACTCGACAAATAACTACTTGACTTTATTACAGGGGCATGGTTTTGTAAGTGCAATAAATAAACCCACAAGAGTTACTGAAAATGGAGGTACCTGTTTAGATCACTTTTTTATTAAATGTAAGAGTGACCTTCTTAGCAATATTAGGGCTGTGATTTTGGAAAATGATCTCACTGATCATCACCCCATTCTGCTTAACATTCAGTTACAAACATCCTTTAACAACTTAGATAATAATAATACTTACAAATCAATAAATCATAAAATTCTGGCAAAAAAAATTGAGGGTGAGCGGTGGGGTGAGGTTTTGCAGGAGAATAATGTAGAACTGTGTACAAATATATTTGTGAACAAATTAAAAAATATGATTATGGAATCAACAATTATAAAAACAATACCAAACAAGAAGAAGAAATTGAAGCCTTGGATCACTGGTGGGCTCTTATTGTCAATTCGAAATAGAAACCGCCTTAAAAAGGAAACTACCTTGAATCCCAACAATTTTATAATTTTGAATAGGTATCAAGAATATCGAAAAATTTTGGGTAAGTTAATAAAAAATTCAAAGTATACTTATTACAAATTATTAGCTCAAAGAAATTTAAATGATTCAAAAAAACTATGGAATGTGATTAGGGAGGCCACCAATGATCAGGTCTGTAGGTCAGAAATAAAAGCAATTAATAACCAGGTAAATTCGGAAATAACAAACAAAAAACAGATTGCGAATGAATTCAATTCTTATTTTTGTAATATAGGAAAACATTTGGCAGGAAAGATTACTGGAGGCGCTCGGAATCATGGTGTGAGGGAGAGGAGGAGTGAAAACTCGTTCTTTTTGAGTCCTGTGACAAGTGATGATATAATTAAAGAAGTGATGAGCCTTAAGAATGGGGTAAAGGGTGGAAATGATGCTATTTCATCTAATGTAATAAAAACTTTTAAAGAAAATCTCAGCATTCCGCTTAAGCACATAACAAATCTATCATTTGCTGCTGGTATTTTCCCTGATATATTGAAAAATACTAAAATCATACCCTTATACAAGCAAGGTGATAAAAAATTATTAAATAACTATAGACCAATTTCTTTGACTAGTACAGTGAGTAAAATCATTGAGAAATGCTTTAGGAGAAAATTAAACACCTTTTTAGAGAAAAATTGCCTTCTCAACTCAAATCAATTTGCTTTCAGGGATCATGCAAATACTGAAAATGCTCTTGTAAAGGTTACAGAAGAGATACTTAAAAATCTAGATCAGGGGAAAAAAGTGGTAGGGGTTTTTTTGGATTTGAGAAAAGCGTTTGACACTGTGGAGCACCAAATTTTATTGAAACGATTAGAGAGTGTGGGAGTCAGGGGTATTCCAAATAACTTTATTAAGTCGTATCTGGCTGAGAGGAAACAAACCACAGTTGTCTCTGGACAAGAAAGTAATGCATTGCAGGTAGAATTTGGTGTGCCACAAGGTACAGTGCTCTCAACTTTGTTATTCAACATTTACATAAATGGCATAATGGAGCAGCTTGATGATGAGAATATTAATACCTATTGCTTTGCTGACGATACAAGTATTATAATAAGTGGTAACGACTGGGGAATTACTAAGCTAAAGGCAGAAAAAGCATTACAAAAAATTAAGAACTGGTTGGATGAAAGTTTACTTTCCCTTAATGTAGAGAAAACCAATTTTGTGGCTTTTTCGCTTTCCTCTCGCTCACTGCCGGATTTCGAGTGCATCAAAGTTCATGATTCAAAATGTGATTTGGGCCTACATTGTGAGTGTGATATGATCATAAAAAGAAAGTCTAGCCTAAGATACCTTGGAGTTATTTTGGATGAAAAACTAACTTGGAAAGAACATGTTGAGTATATAACTGCAAAAGTAAGGAAACTAATACACAAATTCTATGAACTAAGAAAAATGCTTACATTAAAAACGTTAAAGACAATTTATTGTGCGTTAGTGGAGTCCATGATAAACTATGGTTTGGTGTTGTGGGGGAATGCAGGCACAACAACACTATCAAAATTACAGGTATCCCAAAGATGGATTATAAAGACTATGCTGTTTAAGAAAAAAAGATATCCTACAGCTCTTACTCACAAAGATAGTAATGTTCTAACCATAGAACAGCTTTATTTAAAATCAGTCCTGAGATTCATGATAAAGAACAACTACTACAAAGAAAATTTAAAACACGGACAAAATACAAGAAGTGCCACTCAAGGAAAGGTTGAACTGCAGAACCCCAAGCACACAGCCTGTCAAAATCACATTTACTGTGTGGGTCCAAAGGTTTACAATGACTTACCTGATAGCTTTAAACAAAAAACATATTGCAAAATTAAAAAACCCTTAACAAAATGGATTGTTGATAGTGGATATAGGATTAATTATGTGATATAAAAAGTACAAACAAACAATTATTGGTATATTTGAAGATAGGAAGAAATTTATTGTACAAAGAAATTACATCTGAAATGTTGAAATTGTTATTTGTTAAATTGTATTAAAACCTAAAATATTAAATGAAAGTACAAACCTCAAAATAAAATATTTTAAATGAATTAAGTTTAATGGGGTGCACACACAGTATTATAAATACCATTGTGCATCTAATAATGTTAGCAGTATTAGGAAATTGTATTAAGATTGATATAACTATGTGTAGGTATTGCATTAAATTTTTAAGTAAATTAAATTTGAATATTTTTATCTCAAGTACATAATATGTCTACGATTTGTATATCATAGAATTATAATTATATTGTAACTATTGCTATTGCTAATAAATAAAAAAAAAATACATTCTAGGTGACCGGGCTATACTGCATATTTATTTAGGGGATAAAGTGCAGTATAGCCCGGTCACCTAAAATATCCATTTTTTCGAGTATTTTCAATATGATTTTAATTTGTAATTTTTAAATTAAAGATTTCCGCTGGAAAATTTTCTTCAAAATGCACTATTTGAACATTAAACAAACAATTTTTATTCAAAAAAATGCTATTTTAGGTGACCAGGCTATACTGCACTTTTACCAAAATATATCCAAGATAAGGAGGGCCAGTATGGGGATCTCGTAAACAGTGGAAGATACAACGTTGCTCAAATTAGGAAAAAGTTGCATAATTTTGTTCTTATTGAAATACTGCACTGATATTTGAAATATTCCGAGTGATACCGGAAATATCCAGAAAAACCCGAAATTTGTCCAAAATGATTTTATTTTTTTGTGACTTTATTTGAAGAGATATTTCAAAATAAATGGCACTTCTTCATTGCCACTTTTCCTCCTCTACAATATGACATTATCAAATTTGTAATCCGATGTTTCATCTTTAGGCCACTTATCATCAGATCCCCATATTTGCAGTTTATTGATTTTGTCCATTTATATGCATGTATATTGTGGGTGATCTTTATGTATTATTATTAAACTTTATGTTGTATTGATTAAGTTTTATTGACTAGTGTTTTAATTTTTAACCTGCATTGTTAATTTATTATTATTTATGTCTTGTATTTAACTACTATTTTTATTTATTTTTTTTGTTCTTTTTTACCAAGGCTTTGTAACAACCAAGGTTTATACAATAAAGCTATTTTTGACTTTTGACTTGACATACTGCCATACTGGCCCTCCTTATCTTGGACATATTGTATATTACTCCTTCTTAACCCAGGGTCACATGACTGGGATTTGGGTATATAAAGCCTGGCTTAGTGGAAAAGCTTGGATTTGTTACACAAAAAGCCAAGTGTTTCAACTAAGCCAGACCTTATGAACTACAGAGAATATGGCCCTTAATTTCCTAAACAATTTTTTCCAGGAATTTAGCATTTAGGACAATAAATAATTATATACATAAAGACTTTATTTATTTATTTATATTATTTACATATTCTCAAGTTACAAACTTACCATTTTATCCATTCCCCTGGGCCCCAAACTGGTACGAATAGCATCGCAAACAGCTGAAAGTTTAACACAATTTTAAGGCAACTTAAGACAAATGATTATCAAATTTTTAACCACTAATTAACTTAATAATTAAAAAATTAAACAAATTGCCTAATTTAATTGTTATTTTCCAATTTAAATTACCTTTTGCTGCATTTATATTACTAGTCCTTACATCTGTGGGTTTACTTTTGTCTTTGTAGGCTAAATTCCGGTTGCGGGTCGCATCTCCGGAGGCTTTGGGTGCCGTCATGATGGAACTTTATTATTTTGGTAATTTTATTTGAAAACCTTTGCCCAATTTTGGGATGATGATGGATTTTTCAAATTAAATTTTTCCGGCTCCGGAGACAGGGAAATCTTTATTTTTGTTTTGATTTTTTGACGTTTGTTTCAGGAAAAATCGATTGTCAACAGTGTCAATTGTCAATTACTTGTAACGTGAAGTTGGATGTATTTTTTTAAGACATGTTCCGAATCGTAGCTCCGAACACGTTCGCATTAAAATCGAGAACTCAAAACTCAGTTCAGAGTTGGGAATCAAAAAAAGTCGTGTTGCCAGTAAATTGCCAACCTTTTTATTACAGAAACATTGATCCGATTAACCGGATTACCAGTTGATGTTTTATGTCTCTTTTCAATCGTGTCCAATAAAGTAGGATAATAAACAAACGGTTCGTGATCAGGTTAATCGGATCAGCGAAAAATGTGCACTAGTGCAGAATTGACGTGATGTAAGTATGGAAACGGCGGTGTAGCAGCAACCGTGCAATATGGAATATAAATATTTTGAATTTTTGAAACGTATTATTATAAGTTGTATTCCTTTCACACCTAGGAGGAGCGCCAGAACAGGTGGGTGTTACGCGCCCCGAAGTAAATTATTTAAATGCATGCATTCCTTTCAAATCGGGGCGACTAACACCAAAGCGAGTAACTCTAGTGTTTCAAACTCTTGAAAGGAATACAGCTTTTATCGATCTTGGTGTCACTGGGCGAATTCTGTTACTCATCGATGAATCCATCTGCTGCCAGCATGAGACAGCAATTCCGATTTTCTATGAACTAGACAGAGATAGACTAGTCATCGATTAATTTATCAGGAATGAAAGAAAGCACCCTACTCTGAAATTTGCATTTTGACGTTTGACACTTCTTCCCGCTCCTTCCGCCTCTTGAAACTCATGTTTTGAGGTTAGGGTTAAGAAAAATTTTTCATTTACAAAAATTAAAAAAACGGCTTCATTTAAATACTATATTAATTCACTCCTACAAGTCTACTCAAGTAACAATACCAAAAATGACTAGGTAAACTATTTCTTTCCCTTTTGGGCCCCAATTTGCATTTCTAACCTCGAAAATCTTTTCCAGGACCAACACAGAACTAGGAAACGTTACTCCGCACAATATAAAACAACTCAAGAAGCTCAACAGCGTAGTATTTCCAGTGTCCTACAATGACAAATTCTATAAGGATGTCTTGGAGGCTGGAGAACTGGCTAAACTAGCTTACTACAACGACATTGTCGTGGGGGCTGTTTGCTGTAGAATCGATACGACAGAAAACTCCAGGCGATTGTATATAATGACTCTTGGTTGCTTGTATCCGTATCGACGACTTGGCATTGGAACTTTGATGGTGCAACACATTTTAAGTTATGTGGAACAAGATGGGAACTTTGATAGCATATTTTTGTAAGGAAAATTTTCACTACAGTTGGTCATTTTTTGCTCAAAGATTCCAGATATTGGTTTTGTTTTGGTTCAAAAACATTTTCAAAGCAATTAGGTACACAATAATTTCCTGTTAGAATCAATTAACTACACTAAGGCCTAGCTTATTCAACTTCAAATAAAGGTACTTGGTAATTGTCTACAAGATAACTTGATTGATCTATAATCCTATTCGTCGGCGGATAAGTAACTAGCACTAGGAATATAGATTTGATTTTTATTCATCAGATCCAGAGAAGGTGAATAAACCAGGCCTAATTAATTGATACTGCAGAACTAATCCCAAAATCTTACAGTCACATAACTTTGATTTCTCTGATGGGATATTTTTAGATTTCCTTTATCATTTATAATTATCCATAACGTATTGATTTTATTTCAGGCATGTTCAAGTAAACAATCAAAGTGCCATTGATTTCTACAAAAAGTTCGGCTTTGAAATAGTTGAAACCAAAGAACATTATTACAAAAGAATAGAACCAGCTGATGCTCACGTACTGCAAAAAACAATAAGAAATAAGAACCACATTAATGGTACTACAGACTAAATTGTTTAAGGAAAAAATTATTCAAAACTTCCCAAAATATTTTATTGAGTTTTTACAATAATTTTGATTTATATTATGATTGTAACCTGCCACAAAATTTCTTGGTTGTGCTTCAGGTTTTTATTTGGGTAAGTATAATCTGATCAAAATCAGAAGTAACTGTTTTTTTTTTGGAAAAAAATTGTTTTGTATTACCCCTCATTTATTATTTCCTAATAAAAATTTACTTGAATTCGATGTTAATATTTGCTGTATATTAAATTTGTCAGAACAATACATTTTAAAATAAAAAAAAAAACAAAATTTATTTGGTTTGAGTGCTACTACTATGAGTAATTGCAAACTTAAGCAAGTCGGTCAAATCCTGGTAAGACTTTTTAGCCTGATTTTGTGTATACTCGTATCGATGGGCAGCCATTTTAAATACTTGTTCAAATTGGCTTTTAAAATTATCGCCATCCCAATTGACAATATTGTCACAGACATGTAATGACTCTTCAGTTAGAGCATTGAGAAAATTCAGCCTGGTCGTAACAACATCAATAGTTTGCAACGAATGACCCAGTAAAGCACTAGATTTGGCAACTTGAGAATTGGTGGAACTATTCGTACAGCAATGGCTTTGTGGATACATTTTACAAAAAGAAACCTTTTGCGTATTAGTTGCTGGCTCAGAATCTAAAATTGAATTTTTATGAGTTGATGGCATCAAAGTATTAGAGGAACAACATTTAATAATTTTTTTATTAGGTTTATCTTTTTGGGCAAGGTCATATATAGTATCTAAAAAGCCCCACGACGATTTGCCACTTTTATTAAGCATAGTTTTTAATTGTTCGATTTCCTTGCTAGATTTTTGAAGGTCTTTTTCTTGTTTGGTAATGGTCTCTTGAAGTTTGTAACGTTTATCGGTAACAATTTGTAACTTTTCTTGTGTGATATTCAAATTGATTTCTAGTTGAGCTATTTGGGTTTCTCGCGATGCAATTTTTTGTTCGAAGTATTTGAGTTTTTCATCTTTTTTCGTACTTTGTGTAGATACCTAAAAATGTCTTGTTTTCCAACTAATATTTGTTGATTTAGGGGGTATTATTACCTCGATTAATATAGTTCTAACTTCTCTTGAATATCTTCCAAGGCTTTGTTTTTCAGCCATCAATTTGTCACGAGTATTCTTTAGAACGCTAGTTACGTTCTCGCGATACTTTATCAAATTTGCCATTTCGCTCATTTGAATTTTTTGCTTTTCAATCAATGCCCTCAGATCTTCTACTTTGTCATCATTTGTCACAAATCTACAATAGATTAATGTATATTTCCTATGTTGTGTTGAATTGAAATTACCTCTGCACAACATTTGTCAATTTTTGTCTGCCATCGTCAAGCATCCGTTTCAATTCTTGGAAGGAGCATGCTCCATTTTCCTGTTCATACTTTTCCTGTCGCACTTTCAGTTGGTGTATTTGAGCGTTAAGTTTTTCAATCTCTATTGTTCTCAAATTCTTCAACCTAGAGAATCAATTAGTTAGTAATATAATGTGACAAGTTATTCAAGTACAAACGAGTGGATTGTTGCGGAATTTATGGGTGGACCTCTGCTGGACGAGCGCAGCGAATTCCGCAGCCATCTATTTATCAATATGTTGTGTAATTACGATACTAACTTGACTCACTCAAATGTGAGTTAATCTCATTAGTCTCAAAGCTACACGGTTCAGGTGAATGTCTTATTTGAACAGTTCAACAGCATTTTGGTGAGTATAGTCTGGCAAGTGGTAACTTGGTAGAGGCGAAAGGGGGAAGAAAACTGGGGCGTTAACTAAAAATATTCACTGATGCCTCAACTGACACCGTCTGATGACAGCCATGTCTTTGAGTTCAGTGGCACTGAAACCACCAAGGAAATAAACCAATAAAATTATTAGAAAAAAGATTCTCTAGTTTCGCCAATAACCACGCCACTGCGTGCTGTCATTCAGGCTCTAACCAATAGAATCTTGTTTCTGAATAATCACACCTCTCCACTTCCATCATTTCGCAATGTTGCCTGATTTTTTCCTATTTCAAAATATGACACATGCCCATATAGAAAAAAAAAATATGTCACCAACTTGTTTATTATTTTGTTTCTAATTTCCGTCAAGTTTGGCAAAGCAGCAAATTCTGTTGCAGTTCGCCGTTTCGCTAGCCAGACAATAGATGGCACAGAGATCCACCCATAAGTTCCGCAATAATCCACTTATTTGTACTTGAACAATAACTTATTATATAGTCAAAATTTGTAAGAAAATGATTATTCACTTTTAGTTGATTTGCCTTTCAACAGGAATTAGTAATGTTACTTTACTAAACTAGTAACATAATGTGACAAGTCATTCAAGTACAAATGAGTGAATTGTTGCGGAACTTATAAGTGAACCTCTGCGGGACGAGCGCAGCGAGTTCCGCAGCCATCTATTCATCAATATGTTGTTTAATTACGATACTAACCTGACCCACTCAAATATGAGTTATTCTCATTAGTTCAAAAGCTACACGTTTCAGGTGAATATCTTATTTGAATAGTTCAACAGTATATTGGTGAGTAGATGGCTGCGGAACTCGCTGCGCTCGTCTCACATAGGTCCACCCATAAGTTCTGCAATAATCCACTTATTTGTACTTGAACAATAACTTATTATATAAAGTCAAAATTTGTAAGAAAATGATTATTCACTTTTAGTTAACTTGCCTTTCAACAGGAATTAGTAATGTTACTTTACTAAACAAGTAACATAATGTGACAAGTCATTCAAGTACAAATGAGTGAATTGTTGCGGAACTTATAGGTGGATCTCTGCGGGACGAGCGTAGCGAGTTCCGCAGCCATCCATTCATCAATATGTTGTTTAATTACAATACTAACCTGACTTATTCAAATGTGGGTTATTCTCATCAGTTTAAAAACTACACATTTCAGGTGAATGTCTTACTTGAACAGTTCAACAGTATATTGGTGAGTAGATAGCTGCGGAACTCGCTGCGCTCGTCCCGCAGAGGTCAACCCATAACTTCTGCAATAATTCACTTATTTGTACGAACAATAACTTATTATATAAAGTCAAAATTTGTAAGATTATGATTATTCACTTTTAGTTAATTTGCCTTTCAACAGGAATTAGTAATGTTACGGTACTTTACTTAACTAGTAGCATAATGTGACAAGTCATTCAAGTACAAATGAGTGAATTGTTGCGGAACTTATGGGTGGACCTCTGCGGGACGAGCGCAGCGAGTTCCGCAGCCATCTATTCATCAATATGTTGTTTAATTACGATACTAACCTGACTTACTCAAATGTGGGTTATTCTCATCAGTTTAAAAACTACACATTTCAGGTGAATGTCTTACTTGAACAGTTCAACAGTATATTGGTGAGTAGATGGCTGCGAAACTCGCTGCGCTCGTCCCGCAGAGGTCAACCCATAACTTCTGCAATAATTCACTTATTTGTACTTGTACTTGAACAATAACTTATTATATAAAGTCAAAATTTGTAAGATTATGATTATTCACTTTTAGTTAATTTGCCTTTCAACAGGAATTAGTAATGTTACAGTACTTTACTTAACTAGTAACATAATGTGACAAGTCATTCAAGTACAAATGAGTGAATTGTTGCGGAACTTATGGGTGGACCTCTGCGGGACGAGCGTAGCGAGTTCCGCAGCCGTCTATTCATCAATATGTTGTTTAATTACGATACTAACCTGACCCACTCAAATATGAGTTATTCTCATTGGTTCAAAAGCTACACGTTTCAGGTGAATATCTTATTTGAATAGTTCAACAGTATATTGGTGAGTAGATGGCTGCGGAACTCGCTGCGCTCGTCTCACAGAGGTCCACCCATAAGTTCTGCAATAATCCACTTATTTGTACTTGAACAATAACTTATTATATAAAGTCAAAATTTGTAAGAAAATGATTATCCACTTTTAGTTAATTTGCCTTTCAACAGGAATTAGTAATGTTACTTTACTAAACTAGTAACATGTGATAAGTGATTCAAGTGCAAATGAGGGAATTGTTGCGGAACTTATAGGTGGACCTCTGCGGGACGAGCGTAGCGAGTTCCGCAGCCATCTATTCATCAATTTGTTGTTTAATTACAATATTAACCTGATTCACTCAGTTGTGAATTTGTCTCATTAGTTCAAAAACTACACGTTTCAGGTGAGTGTCTTATTTGAACAGTTCAACAATATATTGGTGAGTAGATGGCTGCAAAACTCGCTGCGCTCGTCCCGCAGAGGTCCACCCATAAGTTCCGCAATAATCCACTTATTTGTATAGGGTGTTTATATATATATATATATATATATATATATATATATATATATATATAAAACAAAGTTATTAATTTCTTGGGGAATCAGCCTATTTCTTCGGGACTAGTTCAATAAAAAACTCTTTTCTGCTACGCCCAAGCTTTCGAAAATGTTTATTTTCTTTCTCAAGGCTACAATTTGAAAATAAGATGTTAGATAATAATAGGCAATACTGAATTAAGGGAATATTTACCCTGTGTGCAAAGTGAGTCAATCACATAATGGACTTTTGACTACCTTTGCCAACATTGGAGACATCCTTCCACTTATTGGTCACAATAAATATATGTTAAGTTGTTCAAACAAACACAACATTAATTAGAATTATAAAATATTAGAGAGATTACATTCTTAATTCTACTTTATTTCGTTAACTAGTCAGCCAAGACTACCCTCTAACTATATATATATATATATATATATATATATATATATATATATATATATATATATATATATATATATATATATTGATACCCCACCTACAGTCTTTACCTGTACAGGTAGAAGAAAAGTGTAAATACAATACAGTTTAAACTGAATTTTTAGAAAATATGGTCAGAAACAAAATTTGAATGTCAGAAATGTGAAATTTTGCATGCTTTTAGCTTTCGTCAAATGGGATGCCCTATATTTCATTCTTCATTCTTGAAGAGCACAATGCTTCGATCCATATTTGATTGAGCAATCTCTTATATATTGGGCTCCAAAAATTGTAAAAATACTATCCTACTACTGATTTTGTGAACCATTCTACCTGTATAGGTGAAAGCTGCAGGTAAAATTTGAAGATTTTGGTTTCTCTAATAGTATTTTTAAAATTTTTAGAACCAAATATGTTGGAGACGGCTCAACCAAATATAGACAGACTATATAGTTTTGGAATCGGGAAATTGTGCTCTTCAAGAATATAGAACCAAATATAGGGCATCCCACTTGAAAAAAGCTGAACGCATGCAACATTTCACATTTCTGACATTCAAATTTTGTTTCTGACCATGGATTTCAAAAATTTAGCCAATACTGTACAACTTTTGTATTTACACCTTTCATTTACCTGTAAAGGTAAAGGCTGTAGGTGGGGTGACAATATATAAAAAAACACCCTGTAATATTCACGGGGAAAAATATTTCAACTGCAAAGGATTTTGTAGTATCAATGTTCAGGTTACATGTAGTTCTAAAGGAATTTTCACGTCCGTTGATGCATCATGGCCAGGAAGCGTACACGACAGCGGAGTTTGGAGAAATGCCGAAGTTCATGCGTTTTTTTGTAAAAATAATAATGCTGTTAGGATTCTTGTTACGTTACCCGTCTTTTTAAGGTCTGTGGTATCTTTTACTTTGGTTTTCATATTGTTCAATTTTTTCATAACCTGTTTCACATTCACTATACTTTTTTGGTATTCTTGGTATACACTTAACGAGTGATTTAGCTGCTATCTCTTTTTCTGCTTTGATTGCTAAAGTTTTCTGCTTGTCAAAAAGTATTTTACAATCTTCTAACAAAATAACAAATGCCATCTGAAGATCTATATGTCTTCTACATTTTTAGCAGTTGGTTCAACACTTCCTATTAGTATTTACTACTATGTAGTTTATACTTCTAACCTAAGTAAACACTTCCCATAAAAGAATTTACTTCATGTAATAGTTTATTGCATACCAAGGTGGAAAGTGTTTTAGAGCTTAATAGGAACTATACAATTCCTGAAAATTTTGATTGAATATCTCTCACGAATTTCAAAATATTGAAGCTTAAGAAAATTTCAACTCATTTAACTATTGCTCATTCAAATATCTACTTACTTATGCTTCAACTTTTTTTCGCCATCTTCCAAAATCAACTGGTAACCCTTGACGAGATCCTTTTGCGTTTCCAGCTCATGCTCAATTATGCTTGGCCTTATAAAATCCTGAAATTCCCTATATTGTCTCAAAATCATGTAAATCTTTCTACAAATTATTTACCATTTTTGATTTGGCATTTATCAGACTCAATTTGCGCTCTTGTTCTATTTGATTTAATTTATCTTCAAGCTCCATTATTCTCACATCTTTGACAACATTTAGCATATAGTTTTCTGCTTCAGGTGTTGATGCGTGTCTCGAAGCTAAAATACAAAAGTAGATGTTACAATTCTAAATATCTTAAAACAATTACCGTTGCCCCATTCAATGCTACAACTGACTTTATTCATTGTCTCTTTACAGCTGGCACTCGTTCTGCTTATGTACTGTTCAAACTCTTTATTTTTCTCAACAATTTGGTTTTTCTCTAAAGTAACTTTTTCCAGTTGGGCTTGCGAGTTTAGTAATTTTTCAGTAATTAGACTAATTTGTTCTTGCATTTGTCCTTTAGTTTCTTCATTATTTTGCTCCTCCGATTGCAACCTAAAATTAAAAGAGTTAATATCATTTTCAAGAGTTTTGCAATGGTTGACTTACCAATTTTATACACTTCAATATTAAGGTTTTACAAAAAAAAATCTAATGTTATTAAGAATATATTTATCAAAAAAAAATTATATACAAGTACGAAAAGGTTTATTCTCTCAATTACTAGTAATAAACCACCCTTAGAGGGAATAATAATTGGGCAATAGCCCTTAAGGTTAGATCTACTATTAACCTGGTTTCAAATCGATTCTTGTCTGCAGTAACTTTTTGCAAAAGATTTTCTTGGTGTTTTAAACTTTTAGCCATTTCCTCCTTCTCTTTATTCCACAGAATTTCTTTATGTTTCATTTGATCTTGAAGTAATCTAAAATAATTATAGCAAATAAAATAAAAGTATTGGTATTAAGTGAAATTATTACTTGATTTTCTTTTGCAACTCAGCATTGGTGGTATCCTTTTCAGAACTTTGACGCTCCAATTCGTTTACTCTTGTTCGCAAGTTTTTTAAAGTTTGTGCATTTGCGCTATTGCGGCCTTTGAATTCTATAGTTGCTTTTCTTTCACTTTCCAAGTCTTGATCTAATTTCTAAAAAAATTTATTATTAGTTCTATAGTACACAAAACAAGGCTTCTTACTTTTATTTGTTCTTTTAAAGAAATAACAACTCCATTGAGCTCCCCTAGTGTTTTATCCTGGAAAGTTTTTCGTTCGTCTATTTTGTTGTGTAAATCGCGAATTACAATTTCAGATTCTTCCTTTGATTTTTGCTCTTCTTTGAGTTTATTTTCTAATTCCTCGATTCTCAAGTCGTTGGTGCTACTTTGTTTTTCCTTTAGTAGTTTTTGCCAATTTTCAACCAGTTCGCAAATTTTCACTTCCTGTCCCTTTATTACCATGTCCAAGGACTGTTGAAGCTGTAGACCTTCACACTATAATCGGAAAATTTTTGTGAAAAAATATTACATTGAAAATCAATATTCACCTTCAAGGATGTTATTTTTTCGGAGACTAGACCAACGTCTACTTCAGATTTGGTGACGCTTTCTAAGAGTTCTACAATGAGAGCTCTTCTGCTGAGTAGATTTTTGCATATGTCCATTAGGGTTTTTGGGATTTCTTCAATAGATAATTTCATGCTGCCGATAATTTCCATAGACATTTGCTCTTGTTGCTAAATGATTAATAGAATATAATGTTATGATTTTATAAAGGATGTTTGAGAGGTACTCATTTAAAAAACAAATCACCCTCGATAATTTTAATACTAAAATTTTGAAATTTGCTTGAGATTCGTCACTTAAATTTTTGTTTATTATGTATCTTGTAGGACTGACATTCAACACAGCTAAAATTTGAATTAAAAATCCTACTCCTAGCCCTGCTGCTCAACACCAGAGGCTTAAAAATCTTAGAATTTGGACTTACGAGCTGTAGAAAAGTCTTTTTTCCAGCCCTTCTAGAGCCAAAATTGAAAAAACTCCGATTACTGATCATTTTAGAGTTGAAATTGAGCCAAATGGCTGAAATTCAACTAAACTCCAAATTCTCAAGATTTATTCAGTAGGGTCTTTTTATCAAACAGAACAAACTGCGAATGGTTCTCAATTTCAGAAAAGGAATTAGGAATTATGAAATTTTTCTCACTTAGATACAATAAAATCATAAAAAAATTCTATTAAATAACATTTGGAAGATTCTTCTTGTAGAAAAATTAATCCAAAATTTTCAGATTAGTGGATAATAGGAGAAAACTTGTTTTCCCTATTTTGGGTTTTCCCAACTAACTGATTTTTGGTCGGCCTATTAGATGGTCAGTACTTAAAACAGCAAAAATGCTGGTTAGTGTTGAATCCTAATCTTAGATGATACTACGATAAAATTTCGCTTGACGTACTACTTCTACTTTGCCTACAGGCACTTACAAAGAAAATTAATCCAAAATTTTCACATCAGTGGATAATAGGAGAAAACATGTTTTCCCTATTCTGGGTTTTCCCAACTAACTGATTTTTGGTCGGCCTATTAGATGGTCAGTACTAAAACAGCAAAAATGCTGGTTAGTGTTGAATCCTAATCTTAGATGGCGCCACGATCAAATTTCGCTCGTCGTAATATTTCTAGCAATCAGAGGGACTTTAAACTTTCAGGATTTATTGAGTAGGGTCTTTTTATCAAACAGAACAATGTATAGAGCTAAAATTCAACTGGAAAAGCTTAGAAATCTTGAAAACGACTCTACTAGAGCTAAAATTTGAAATAAAAATTCATAAAAATTCGATTTCCAACCCTGTTGAGCCAGAAACAAAGACTGTATTGTGTATGTTAGAAACTAATATAAGAGAATTTTGACTTTGAGTCTAGAAAACTTATTAGGTAAGTACTCAATACGAATCTCGAAAAAAAACCAATAATTATTACCTCTTCAGGTGTTTCATTCAAATCTTGATAGGGCACTAATTTGACTTCATCTAATTTAACATTTTTCCCCATTTGCTGCAATTTTTTTTTAATCGTCGTTAAACTCTGGTATATTTCGATAACAGGCTTCTGTTTTTCTAACAACTCCTTTTTCAGTTGCACAAGCCGTTTATTTTTATTGATAAACTGAACTTCCAATGTATGTTTATTCGCCGAAACGTTCAAACGAGGAACAGGAGTCTTGCAAACAATCCTGAATAACAAAATTAGCAAAAATTGTTAAAACGCACAAACATTCTTACTTGCTGGGAATTTTCGCTGCTGGTAAAGGTTTAATTGGTCCTGCAGTAATTTTCATAGGTAAAGGGATGCTGGAATTGTGAGGCTGAGGCCGGATAATTCTAGAACGATTTTTCTTGGTAGGAGAACGATCTCGTGTAGATGCGGGCCGATCTCCAGCTTCGCTGGATGTCCTGCTCCGCAGCGATCTGGTGCTTTGCAGGGATCTTGGCGATGACAACGTTTCGTTCGCCAAGTGATATTCAGGGTCGTGTTTTCCAAAGTCAATAGACTCCTTTAAAGGGGGGATTTTATAAGAGGTTGTTTTTTTTTTTGCAGTAGACTTACCATTTTTGGAGATAGAGGGGTTTCGAGGTCGCCTAAAAAATTTTTTTGATTAAAATAAACTGTCAATCAGTGTCAAAATTAATTATAATGTCAGGCAGTATTTTTTTGATTGTTTTATACGGTCCAGAGCGCATATTAGAAACTGTTTTATTGGCTGTTAAACAAACTAATTTTCCAAATAAGTGAGGCAAGACTTTTTTTTTAAGAGCACGAAAATGTGTATATTTTGACTTACCTTTAGGACGTTGCATGTTTTCTTGTGAGCTCATTTTCGGGGTGGTTTATTTTGCATTGTACAATAAATATAATAAATCTTGTAGAACACTGATGCAATTTGTTTCGACAAAAAACTAATAAAAAATGAGCTCCAATACGCAGAAACAATAGATTTGACTAAACATGTCAAGGCAACGACGTTTTGCCAACCCTGATAAAGAGAAAATTTCAAAAGTGAAACCTGCATAATCTATATACGATTATTGCAATGCTTAAGGTCTGTTTTCACAAAAATCACGAACCAGTTAGAACGAATTTCATTGGTTGAAAATAGTCAGAGAACTGTTTGTTGGCGATTTGCATCAATCAAAAACGCTCTTAACTGGTTTACGTGATTTCTGTGAGAACAGACCTTTATCTACCATTTTTTCCTCACTCTCGTTTGGTTCGTTTGCATTTGTAACAATTTCTAGTGGAGTTTATATAAACTCCTAAGTACAGGGTGTTTTTTTACATATACAGTTTTTGAATACATTGTCATCTGATTATATAATTTTGTATATTTTCGTATGAATCTCCATTCGTAGGTCGATCGAGTGTACGCCACTGGTATCACCCTGTTTCTGACAACCCCCTCAACCTTCAAATTTGTGATGTTTGATAATATTCTTGAACCCTAAAACAAATTATTCGTGATGATATAGTCCGACCAATAGTCCGACAAATACCATTTTAAAGTCACGTGATACTGGTAGCAAAAAACGTATGTCCATTGATTATGTCGTTGATATCACCTACAAAAAGCTACTGGTGGTTAATTACTATTGAATTTTAATATATGTTCCCACTAGCATTTTACAAACGCGTTTCTGAAGTAGTATTGACCAATCAGAGGGCAATTTTAATACTTGCAATTGTTGCGAGACTCACTTTTGTCGCATCTGCTGTCTGTTGTAATACATTCTGAACTTAAACTGGGTACCCGTTTTCTATTTGCTTCTTTGAGGGATTTCGAAAGGATTTCGGGGATTCCGGAAATTTCGGTAGGATTCCGGGGATTTCGGACGAATTTGTGACACGATTTCACGGAGTGATCAACCCCTCGATATTTTCGTATGAATCTCCATTCGTAGGTCGATCGAGTGTACGCCACTGATATCAACCTGTTGCTGACAACCCCCCCAAACTTCCCTGTTAGTATGAATTCAATCCCATTAACAGTTTTCGAATAATTGTCATCTGATTATTAAATTTTGTATATTTTCGTATAAGTCTCCATTCGCAGGTCGGCCGAGTGTACGCCACAGGTATCACCCTGTTTCTGACAACCCCCTCAACCTCCTCTGTTAGTATGAATTCAATCCTATGTAAAGTTTTCAAATAATTGTCATCTGATTATAAAATTTCGTATATTTTCGTATGAATCCCAATGTCATTGATGAATCCCCATTCGTAGGTCGATCGAGTGTACGCCACTGGTATCACCCTGTTGCTGACAACCCGCTAGCAATGAACTATAAAACAACACGTACCTGAAATGGCACCGACCGTTGTCGGATATGGCATTTGTCATCTCTCTTAGTGCGTCTAAAGAAAACTATATAGTGGGGGATCCCTTTCTCTCTCTATTTCATTGCTGTTAGGTTTGGTGTATATTCCTAACCTCAAATTTAATATTTTTTAGACAAGGAAAACTTTTCATAAGTGACCCATAAGGTAAATAGAGATAGGAATCCCCTACATTCTCCATCTCAATTTGCCGCATTTTAGAGATAGGCCGGGCCATTCCAGGTATTTTTACGTGTAGTTTATAGTTCATTGCGTTCTAGTGACTAAACATATGTCGCTTCTTGACAGTGTTGTCGAACGTCAAAATATTAAATCGGGAGAAACTTAACATTGAAAATCGGCTTATCGGCCACGTTTTCGGTAATCGCGGCCATATTGGTGTATCACCATTGCCGACGTCATTAACTAAATCGTCAGCTGTTTGCGCCAGCGGTCCTAGTTTAGAATTTTTTTTATGATGAAAAATATCATTTAATTTTGATTAACATAATAGGCAAAGAGGAACATGCTAACGAGATCTAAACAGGAGTTGTTAATGTTAATTATTAATGTAGTATAAGACCAAGTATGCATCAAGCAAAAAACCGCGGAATCATAACATTCATAACCTGTGATGCAAACAGTCAAGGCGTAAAACGACGTGCTGCGTACGTCACAACTGGTGATTTGGTGTAGTGGGGGGCTTCAGATTTGTTCTAAAATCTGTTATTTTTTTTAAAGATAAAAGTCAAAATGACATTATGTTGGCAATACAATGTAAAATTGTCAATGCTTTCAAATTTTTCATGTAGAAAAGGCTTGTATTGCCAACATAGTTACTAAAATTTTTGACTTGGGGAATTATCTTTAAAAAAAAAACAGACTTTACACAGATGTTTTATGAGGATAGGTTATCCTGTAGTAGTAGTGTGTATTATCCTTGTGTATAACCAGTGGCCTCAGTGGGTATAACTACAGTGGCTAAATAAACCTTTACATACAGTGGCGACAATAGAGGTCCCGCCGCCATCTTGTTCCCAACCTCTTGTTACTTTTAAATATTAGTAGATAGGGGTCTATATAGGATTTAAATGGACATCTATCATAAAAAATTGAAATCGACGTATTTGATGACCAGTATTAGGTTCATCAAATACGTTGCTTTTCATGATTTATGATGGATGTTCACCTAAATCCCATATATTCATATTTAAAAGTAACAAGAGGTTGGGAACAAGATGGCGGCGTTTTCAATATAAATATATGGGATTTTAGAACCAATCAAAAATAAGACAGCAATTGTCGCCACTGTGGGTAATAGAGTCACTGTAGGTATAACATAAAGACTAAAATCCAGTCGTGTTTTGCTTTTAGTTTTTTATTTTGTTGAGTACCTATGTAAAATTCCAGTGATAGTTTCCGTGGAAAGTCTATTTCTTTGTGCTGTTTTCATTCGATTTATTGCTGAGAATGTGCGCTCAACATTGGCGGCAGAATAGGGCAATGACAAGATATTAAAAACAAAGGATAACGCACACCAAACATAAGATTTTTGGGCTCTATGGATTTTTCTCATTTTTTGATATGTTGTAGAGGATTTAATTCTGAACAACCTTTAAATGGGATGAAATCTCGTAGGTATTACGGCCTTTGAGATGTGAGCGTTGAAAGATGAACTTTTTTGCATTGTTTTGTGTGGAGAGTATACGAGATACTGGTGCTACTGGTGTTTATCAGTCAAAATATTGACAGGTTCACATATTTTACGTCACTTATGCCCGATTGCACCATCTCTCTTAACTGAGGCTTAACGATAATTATCCCTTAAATTGACAGTTTTGCATGGGAAAATGTCACTTTAAGGAATAGTTATCTCTAAGCCTCGGTTAAGAGAGACGGTGCAATCGGGCATTAAAAATTAATGTCAACATAGGTTGAGGCAGTGCAGTACTGGCCTTAGCCTATGTTGACATTTGTTAGTGACGTGAAATATGTCGACCTGTCAAAATTTTGACTGATAAACACCAGTTACCAGTTTTTCGTATACTCTCCACACAAAAAGTCACAAAAAAATTCATCTTTCAATATCCTCTACAACATATCAAAAAATGGGCAAAATCCATAGAGCCCAAGAATCCCATGTTAGGTGTGCGTTATCTTTTGGATATCACAGGTAGGGATGCCCAAAAAATATCGATGTTTTTTAAACATCGATATAAAGTATTCGATACATCGATATTTTTACATCGATGGTATTGTTACGATACTATCGACAGGTATCGATGTTTTTGAAACGGTATTTTGTGTGTTTTACAAATAGTGATTTGATTTCCTTTTTCCAATTTAGTGCATTCGTGAATTGAAAATCTAGAAATAAAATTTAAAAAATTCGCGCTGGTTCTGCAAATAGAAAACGCTATTGATAGGTTTGTTCCAACCCGTCAAAAAACCGTCCCAGAACGGTTTCGGAACCACTCTGTATACGAATTTTGGTTTCTGCGCAAACATTTCAGGTTTTGCGCTTTCGATTTCGATATCCTTGCTTGTTAATCGGGTCTATTCTGTAACTCAAATCGAATCGATAATCGAAATCTTGAATCGATAACTGTGGAAAAATTTATACAGTTATCGATTCAAGTTTTCGATTGTCGATTCGATTTGAGTTACAGAATAGACCCGATTGTTGGTTGACTATTGAAAAAAAAAGAAAACAAAAATAGAATTGATCTGAAACAAAAATATTTTGTTTGGCTGATAATAAGGAGATAAATAAATACAAAATATTTTATTTTTTATTACGAATTTGAATTAATTTCTTTCACAATAATCAGAACCACTGGTTGGAAACAAAAACCATAATTTAATTTACAAACTAAACGAAAAATCGATGTTAAAAAAACATCGATGTTTTTCTATCGATTTTTTCTTAACATCGATATCACCTTTCGATGTTTTATCGATACCAAAACATCAATTAGATGGGCATCCTTAATCACAGGACCCACGGGTATTCCCCGAAAGTAATGCACTATTGCTAACAAATTTGTCGTCGGAGTATCTATTTGATATCTGACAGTTCTGACAAGGACAAATAATTTGATAGTAGATCGGGTGCGGTCATGGTGCGGTTATCGATAGGAAAATCGGCGAAAACAAAACCAAAAAAATCGGTAGAATCGTAATTATTGTCGAAAATCGGTAAAAATTCATGAGTATTCGATATTTTGGTAAGTCCGTTGCCATTTCGGTAGAAATACGGAAATTTCGGTAGTTTCGACAACACTGCTTCTTGAACGCACAAATAAAATTAAGTTAGGAATTTCCTATTTGTACACGAAATTGACGTATTAGTGTTCGACGTTCCTTTTTTGTTGGTAATTTTTTGTTTCAACTGATTCGTGATTGATAATAAGGATGGAGTTATTTTAAATGGGTATTAAAAATACTAAAGTCTGTTTTTTTTTAAAGATAATAGGAATGTTCACTATTTTTCAATTGTAATAAAAAGTGGTGGTTCTAGATCCACAAAACACGTATTAAACGTTAAAACAGCTAGAAACCCTTAATTTTTTCTAATAAATCGAAAACAAAAAAACGAAATTAGCAAGACTAGCAAAACGACCCCTTGCGGCGAGAGTAGCACTTGTGACGTCACGTTGCGGAATTATTTACTATATAATAATTGCCTACAATGTATTTGTCTCTCTTCCGCTCATTGTAAAAAGTATTTGGACAATTAATAGAGTTCACTATTCAGGGTGCTTCCTAACATTCAATCACCAATTAGTTCATCAGTATCTTTATCTAAATGCATATGAAAGAAAAAGACACTTATAGTAATAATAATATTAATATTTTTTATTGCCAATAAAAATCGCAGAAGCAACGTCACAAAAGGGTGATCCAAGTAGAAAGTAGCGCCACTGTACTTGCGCGCGCTAACTCGTTACACATTATGACGTCAGCGAGCGTTTCTTGCTTTTAAACGAATATTGATATTTAGTCTTCGTTTTTCTTATAGAAAGAATTTTCTGATTTTCGTAAAATTTTGTAAATTTACTTAAGAAACGATGCTTAATAATTTGATGATTGTTAAACGGGATTTTTTTATTTTGTGAACATCCCTATTGCATCCACGTTTTTGAAGCCATTTTCTCGTGCCGAGCAGGTATAACGTCAATAGTTGTACTTATTCCTTTCACACCTAGGAGGAGCTCCGGAACAGCTCCGGGGCTTCACGCACTTATTCCTTTCGAAAAGTTTTTGTTGCACCACGCATATGTTCCCTGCAAATCGGGGGCGACTAAGCACCGAAGCGAGTAGCTCGAGTGTTTCAAGTTGAAAGGAATACAACTATTGTGATGAAACTGTGTTGAAACCAGTTTCATAGCCAGTTTTGAAAAATGGAAGAAAATTCAAGAGCCTGGGATTTTAACGAATGATCGTTTTAATTTTGCAAGATACTTATTTATCGATACAAATCGATATGACAAATTCATCGATATGATCTTGAGTGCGTATCGATGTGGTCTGTTCGCACAGAAATTGTAAACTAGTAAGATTAGAAGGAATTTCACTGGTTCAAACAGTCAGAATCAGTCGATATCTAGTTTCAACCAATGAAATTCAACCTGGTTTTTGATTTCGTGACTATTCAAGATTGCGTGGCGGCCAAGCGTGGTCTAATTGCAGCTAATAACTTAAAGGGGGTGTGCGCCAAAAATTAATAGTCCAGGAGGTGGCGCCAAAAACATGCAAGAGTTTTCGCAAGGCGGATATTTTCAAAATAGGTCGTACTTTAGTGTTAGAATGCTAGTGTACAGTCAGCACTCACAGTTCCGGGACAGCTGGCTCTGGGACGCGGGCAAAGTTGTAATTTTAAGAAGCATCTAAACTGTTTTCTCAAAGCTCAAAACTTATAGAAATTTTGCACATTATCTGTTTGAAGGTCACAGATAACGTATGTAAATCGTCAGACGTCTAGTTCGTTGCAAAAAGGGTGTCAGACGTCCTCAAAGTTTTTATTTTATGGCATTTTCTTCAAATATATTTGTCAAATACCTGCAAAAATATATTTTGACAGGACACCGAAGAAAATGCCATAAAATAAAAACTTTGAGGCCGTCTGACCTCCTTTTTGCAACGAACTAGACGTCTGACAATTTACATACGTTATCTGTGACCTTCAAACAGATAATGTGCAAAATTTCTATAAATTTTGAGTTTTGAGAAAACAGTTTAGATGCTTCTTGAAATTACAATTTTGCCCGCGTCCCAGAGCCAGCTGTCCCGGAACTGTGAGTGCTGACTGTACACTAGCATTCTAACACTAAAGTACGACCTATTTTGAAAATATCCGCCTTGCGAAAACTCTTGCATGTTTTTGACGCCAGCTCCCCAACTATAAAGTTTTAGTGTAAAAAAATCTAATAACTACTCGTTTTCTACGATAAACCATTGCCGAGATATACCGCTTCAAAGTGTGTGTGACGTCACGAGAGCTTCGTCCAGCCGCACTCCGCATTATAAATTTAATTGTTCCCGGCACGCGTCAGTGGTTTTTGTTCAGATTATTGCAGGTGACACAGAAAAAACATATGTAATAGCATATTACATTACGAGTGTAGAAAGTGACAAATTTCACGCGAGTGTATGAAAGACGCTTTCTCACAAGTGATGTACACCATTTTTCCTACGACCAGAAACCAATGTACACGTATTGAAAGTAAATTGTAAGGTCAAATGTCAATCACAAATAATGTCAACAGTATTTTCCACGCGTGTGCTGAAAGTAGTTTAAGCACGCGTATTGAAAGTATGTTCAGCACGCGTGTGATATTTAGCGCTTTCCAAAGAACCAACTAGTGCGGATTTTGTCATTTTATTCGTATGTGGTCGTAGGAAAATTCAATTTACTTCACTATCTCGTGAGTCGCTCGAGCTCTCGTGACGTCATAGGGTGAGATGCGGTACCTTCATATAGAGCCATATCTTCGGTATAATTTGTCATAGAGGGGTGCGGTTTTTACTGTTATTCTCAGAATGTTTTTCTCTTTTTTTTTGAGATGAAGTTGTTTTTTTGGCGCATACCCTCTTTAAATACGCATAAAAACACATAATAGTTATTTATGGTACTAGTGTGTTATGTTGAAAATAAGTCACGCGAGAAAGATTTATACCACGAGGCCGTCAGACCGAGTGGTATAAATTCTCAAGTGACTTAGGAAACATAACACACGAGTGGCATACAATGTTTTATCCAACAAGTAGAAGAAATCGTTTTTTTATGAGATAATACAAAAAAAATACATTGACGTCTTCCAGCACTATCAGGCATCAGCAGCTGTACCGATATGGGAGCGTCTGGTTCCGAATCAACGAATTTTATAATGACTTCAAATTCGAATAAACCGTTAACGTTTTCCTTTAATTTCAATATCAATGTGAATTCTGCTTGTAATAGTAATAAATAAATAGAATACCACTTTAAATATGAACGTGTGTTATAATAACTCACTAATAAATAGAATACTACTTGAACGTGAGTTATAATCCATAACTCACTAGTGAGTTATGGATTATAACACACTAGTGTGTTATTTGATAGTTTACTTGTCTCCGGTCTGGACACCACGCCATATTGAATTTTTTTTGACAGATGACATGGTTTGGATGGTTTGGATTGCCTAAAGATGAGTTCGGAATAGGATTTTAGTGCAGTGCTAGTGCGGTGTCCGTGTAGTGCAGTCACAGCTTGTGCAGTGTTATATCACGTCATGAAGGTGTAATCGGCGGTGTAACACCGAATACACCATCATTTTGTACCGAGTAAAAAAACCATTCGGACACTAAATTATTTCCAAACGCAAAAAGTGTAAAGTGTTTTTTTTTAAGATAAAAGTCAAGATGACTTCATGTTGGCAATTACTGTAATCTAAAGGTGCTTTCCAGTGACCCATTTGAGTTACTCCTGAGCAGCTCAGGAGTGCTCCACAATTGCTTTGCGCATTTCAGTGCTTAGAGTGTCGTACACTTGAGCTACTCATTTCTGTTATCCCCTGCCCCCTCGTGCACCAACCCTTTTGTCTGTGTTTCATGCTCCTGAAATCCGAAATGCTGGGGTTAAGACGAGAGCGTTCCAGTGCTGCTTATGTCGAACAGTTCAAGAGCGTCACACTTCAGGAGCATGATACTCTAACAATTCAGGCACTGGAAAGCGGCTTAAGACTGTAGGTATTCCTTTTATACATCGAGTTACACCGAATGAGCTCCTTGGAGTCACTCAAAAACACAGGATTCAGATTTTACCATAATTTTTTAATATTAACATTACCGTCATTACCTTAAAGGCCTTCTTGCACCCCACGCAAATTTGGTGCAAGGGGGATGCACTATGAGCGACTCCAGTGCTTAACGCACTTTTAAAAGGAACGTTCAAGCTTTTGACATTAAGCAGCTCCGAGTAACTCAATGGGTAAAAGCCGTAAAAGGAATGAAGTAAATATACAATGTAAAATTGTCAGTTTCAAATTTTTTATGTAGAAAATGCTTGTGTTGCCAACATAGTTACTAAATTTTTGACTTGGGGAATTATCTTTAAAAAAAAACAGACTTTATATCAAACATTCCTACCAATTACCAAACGCCATAGTGTCAAAAGTGTCGACACTTTCTACCATTCCGAACTAATCCGAACTCACCATAATACGCAAAATGGCAACGCTGCAAGTGTCACTTTTTTGAGGTTAGAATCTTCGTTTTTTGAGCTTTGACCCCTTTTGTTAAAAACAACTTGTTAAAAAATATATCCACAGATATCCATAATTTAAAATTATCCGAAATCCGCAATGGATTTCCAAAATAGAGCTGGCGGAAAAACGGGCGGAGGCGGCGTAGCATCATGGTCCGAATCGAACAGGGACCGCAGGGAAAGATTGAGGCAATTGGCCCTCGAAACCATAGATTTGCAAAAGGACCCCTATTTTATGAAAAACCATTTGGGGTCCTACGAGTGCAAACTGTGTCTGACCCTGCACAACAACGAGGGAAGTTATTTGGCTCATACCCAAGGAAAAAAACATCAGGTAAAGATTTAAAACTTATATTTCAATTCAAGGCAAAATTACTCATTAACTTGATTAATTTTAGGCTAATTTAGCTAGAAGGGCAGCTAAAGAAGCCAAAGATGCCCCTAGCATGCTACAACCTGAAAAACCCAGGGTGGAACCCAAAAAATTCGTTAAAATCGGTAGACCTGGATACAGGGTGACCAAACAAAGGGACCCCGAAACTGGACAGCAAAGCTTGCTGTTTCAAATCGATTATCCCGAAATTGCCGATCATGTTTTGCCCAGGCACAGATTCATGTCTGCTTACGAGCAAAAAATTGAACCTCCAGACCGTAAATGGCAATATTTGTTGTTTGCTGCAGAACCCTATGAGACTATAGCATTTAAGGTAAACATTTGTACTAGTTGGAGCAGGTTTTTAATTATAAAATTTTGCAGGTTCCTAGCAGAGAAGTTGAAAAAACCGACCAGAAATTCTGGACTCATTGGAACAGAGACACCAAACAATTTTTCCTGCAATTTGCCTTCAAAATCGAAAACAAGAAACTGACCAACATAGTGCCAAGGCCTCCTATGATGGGAGTTGGAATACCTCCTCCACCTCCTATGTTGCCAGTACCTCCACCACCGAGACCTCCAATGTTCAATCATCCTATGCCACCTCCGCCCATGATGAGAGGTGTTATGCCAGTACCACCACCACGTTAGAAAAATAAAACATGTAAAGATAATAATTCCTTTATTATTATAAATTTTTTTTTATAAATATTCAAATAAGTATCACATTTTTTCATAATCAAGTGATGCTATAAACTGCAAAACATTTATCCAATTTTTTGTAACAGTTACACCTTAATTAAATAAATACATTAATATAAACCCCCAGATTATCACCTAGCAATATGAGATTTCACAAGCCTTCCAATATACTCCAAAGCCATAAAAGTTTTATTCGGCCTCAACCTTTGCCTGAGCAAATAATAAAACCCAAACCTAAATATAACATAAATAACTATTAAAGCAACAAAATCCAACCAAAGGATTGTGTTTTCCATTCCCATTTGTTTCATGAACAAATCCAAATCGGTCCAAATGCAAAAGTCCTCATCTTCGGGGCACCTTAGTTTTTCTCTGCCAGTTAACATTGTGTGTATGAGACCTTCAAGTGAATATCTCAGGTAACTGAAATACATGGCGAATTTTATTAGGCTTGGGATGTTTTCGTAGCCACTTCCGAAGCCGTAGACTGCCAGCAACATGAATGGGACTGCTAGGACTGGTCCGACAAACATAGCGTTCTGAAACAGAATTTGTTTACTTAGAATCTGCTTCAATAAAAAATTATTCTTTTATTAGACTTCTATATCCCAATTGATAAATTCTGGAAGTTTGATACTTGTTTGAAAATATTTTTCAGAAACTTTTCAAGTTGATTTAACAGGAAATTCACAAGGTTTTTCAGGATTGATTTGGAACAAATAGGTATCTTATTTCTAATGAGTGATTTAACTTTATTTGTAAGTTTTTCCAGAATTATTGTAGAATTTTGAAAATTTATTGCTTTGAATCCTTATTTTTTCCATTGGGAAAATCTGAAATTCTAGTATGATAGGCTCTTTCTTTTTATACCAAAAGTTTGAAAATTTTGTCTTTACTGGTTTTTCAGAAATATATTAGGATTCCTTTTTTTTTCAGTTCCAACAATGAAAATTGATTTTCAGGAAGTTTTCATGTCATGATTTTCCATTGGAAAAATCTGAAGTTTTATTATGTTGAGCTTCTAATTATCTTCTTTTTATGCTAAAAGTTTCAAAATTTTCCTTTCACTGGTTGTCCAGAAAAATAATAAAATGTGAGAGAATGCATTTTTTTACTTTCAAACTATGAAAGTTGATTTTCAGGAATTTTTCATGTCATGATTTTTCATTGGAAAAATCTGAAATTTTAGTATGATGAGCTCCCAACTATCTTCTTTTTATCCTAAAAGTTTCAAAATTTTCCCTTCACTGGTTTTTCAGAAAAATAATAAAATGTGAGAGAATGCATTTTTTTAAATTCAAACTATTAAAGTTGATTTTCAGGAATTTTCCATGTCATAATTTTCCATTGGAAAAAGCTGAAATTTCAGTATAATGAGCTCCAAACCGAGCTCCCAACTATCTGTTTTTTATCCCAAAAGTTTTTAAAATTTTGCTTTTACTGGTTTTTTAGGAAAATTTTTCATGTCATGATTTTCCATTGGAAAAATCTGAAATTTTAGTATGATGAGCTCCTGATTATCTTCTTTTTATCTCAAAAGTTCCAAAATTTTGCCTTCACTAGTTTTTCAAAGAAATATTAGAATGTAAGAGATTCCTTTTCTTTTAAATTCCAATTATGAAAATAGATTTTCAGGAATTTTTCATGTCATAATTTTCCATTGGAAAAATCTGAAATTTTAGTATGATGAGCTCTTAATTATCTTCTTTTTATCCCAGAAGTTTCAAAATTTTCCCTTCACTACTTAGTTTTCAGCAAAATATTTGAATGTAGAAGGATGCATTTTTTTTAAGTTCAAATTATGAAAGTTGATTTTTCAGGAATTTTTCATGTCATCATTTTCTATTGGAAAAATTTGAAATTTTAGTATGATGAGCTACCAACTATCTTCTTTTTATCCCAAAAGTTTCAACATTTTCTCTTTTGCTGGTTTTTCAGAAAAATATTAAAATTGTCATGATTTTTCATTTTTTTCAGAAGCTTTGGAATTTTTGGAAGTTGATTTAACAAAAGTTTTTTCAGTCGATAAAACATATAATTTAATTTCTTAGCCTTAGACGGAAATTTCCTCATAATTTATAAATTCTGAATTCCAAAAAACTGATAAATCCAAAAATACCTAAGAAGCTGTCTATTTAACTCAGGATCATCTATCATTGAAAATAGCCAAAAGATGACTTTTTCTAAAATTTGAAAAGCCAAAAATCAAAGTTCTTACCACTAAACTGAGTTGTGACGCAATAAGCAACCCGAAACTTTCCGAAATAATTCCAGTCAGCATACAAATGGCGTAAAAAGTAGCCAATCGTCCCAATTCCATTGGTTGATCTGTCAGATAGTAAACCATCGTAATGTAAAGCGAGCCTAAAACTAATTGCACAGGAATCGTCGAAGTTGTCAGCGCTGCAAAATAGGCGCTCAGTCTGTACCATTTGTTGAAATGTTCACGTTTTATCATTTGGTATTCTCTAGGGACTAAAAAAATCTAATTTTAAACCAATTTATTTTTAATAAATTTTTACTTACATTGAAGCAATACTGGCATCATTGGAATATACATAAAAAATATAATGCAAGTAAAATAAAAACCGAAATTGAATATAGTTTTGGAACCGTCTTTGCCCATTCCAATGTACAAAGCTCCTACAAGGCAACCAATTAATATGTGCAAAACGGTTCGCAGAATTAAATAGCTCTAGAAAAAATTTATGAAATTATTAACTTTTAAAAAAAAAATAATTATTAGACTTACTTTGTCTCTATACATTTGCTTCCACATTCGTAAAAGCAAAATAGAAAATTGCATTGTCCAACTGGAACCTCTAAGACTAATTTCCTGCTCGAAAATGTGAATACCTTGAGAATATTGAATTTCTTCATTATTTTGGTGTGTTTTCGATTTGGCATATGTAGATTTTCCATTATCTATGGCCGAAACTATCCGGTCTTGAAAGTTGCCGTATTCCTGACACGCCACTTCAATAACTATAAAATAAGTTGCAAAATTTAAGTAGGTCCTTTCTATTTTATATTAACAATAATTTATTATTAACGGTGTATGAACACATCTAACATTAGTAAAAGAAACAATTACTCACTAAAATCAGCAGGATTAAAATGTTTTGGACATTCTAGTCCGATGTCGGCTAAAAAAGGGACAACTTCTGGACCGTAGCCCTGATAAATGCATTGTCCCGCTGACATAATATAAACATTATCGAATACTGAAAACATTTTAGCACTGGGAGTGTGTATAGAGCATATAATTGTCCTGCCACCTTGGGCTATTTGTTTTAGTAAATTGACGCATTGGGAACAAGATAAATCATCTAAACCACTAGAAAAATTTATGATAATTAATTAAAAATTTAATAGACAAATTTCATACGTTGTTGGTTCATCTAGAAATAGTACTGGAGGGTTGTTGAGCAATTCCAATGCAATTGATAGTCGTTTTTTTTCACCCCCCGATAGCTGTGTTGTTTGTGTGTGAGTGGTACTTTGTAGGCGTAATAATTCTAGAATTTCTGCAATCTTAAAAAGAAAATTAATTGCTTAAGTATGATGAAAGATTTTATGGGCAATTTCTTAACAATGACATTTTCGTTTAATGATTGTAATTAACACAGATTTATTATTAAGTAAATTGTTGTTACCGAATTTTCCTTTTCCTTTTTACTGACTTCGTGGCCTAATTTTAGATTAGCGGCAACCATCATTGCCTCTTGGACTGTCAGCATTGGTTGCATCAGGTCTTCTTGCATTATATACCGGGATAGTTCTCTGAATAATTTCATGTTTCTCGGTTTTCCATTTATAAGAATTTCACCGGTAGCTGTTCTACATCTGGAAAAGAGATATAGTTGAAATCAGGATTAGGAATTTGAAATTTATTTATTTTCTTACTTGTATCCAGCTAGTACGTTCAGCAAAGTACTTTTTCCTGCTCCTGACGGGCCCAAAATTGCGGTCAATTGGTTTGATCTAAAATGACCGCTGATGTTGCGTAGGATCAATTTGGAACCTGAAAAATATTTGTTTGTTCAATTTTTTTTCCTATAATCATTAATTTTTGGCTATAAATCATGAAATCGCAGTTAACAAATAATTTCAATGTAAAAAGGCACTTTAGTAATAATTTATTTTAGTCTGTGAACAATGAAAACAACAAACAAGTTAAAATCCAGTAATTGAAGATTATACAATTTGAGTACAAAGTGTAGATTTAATGGGACCGTTTAAATATTTATGAAGGAAGCCATTGTAAACTTAACCGATGAAGTCATATATACAAGGGGCAAACCACCTAGGAATTCTTTGTCAAAACTGTAGAGAATTTGCAGGAATTTGTGAGGAATTTGAAAGAATTTATGGGAAATTAAAAACACCGAGAAGTGTTTGAAGGATTGGCTTGAAATTTTTGCTTTCACGGGCTCTCTTTAATAAAAATCGAAGCCGAACAGCCTTAAAGCTTTATAACTGCAAAACTATCGAAGCTGCATCGAAAATACCCAATAGAGATTTATAAAGGATCAATTTTTCAATATTTCTGAGTGCCTTTTTTCATAGATTTCGGCTTCAAATCTGAGAATGATTTAGTGTATGGAGTTTGGGGTATGTTGATTGACCATTAGGATACAAAATCTCGACAAAAAAAAAATTTGAAATTTCATCGTTTTAGTAGGAAGGTACCTACCTTATGATTTAGATTTTGGAAAACTTTGAAAGGTCATAACTTTTTTTCTATTATAGATAGAAAGCTGAAACTTTTACTGAATTTTATCCCTTTCAAAGGACTACAATCCCTGAAAATTTCAGCTCATTCGCACTTATAGTTCCTGAGATAAAATCGTGTTAAGCAATTTAGGGTGATTTATCAATTTTTCAATTTTTCTGAGTGCCTTTTTTCATAGATTTCGGCTTCAAATCTGAGAATAATTTAGTGTATGGAGTTTGGGGTATGTTGATTGACCATTAGGTTACAAAATCTCGACAAAAAAAAATTTGAAATTTCATCGTTTTAGTAAGAAGGTACCTACCTTATGATTTAGATTTTGGAAAACTTTGAAAGGTCATAACTTTTTTTCTATTATAGATAGAAAGCTGAAACTTTTACTGAATTTTATCCCTTTCAAAGAACCACAATCCCTGAAAATTTCAGCTTATTTGCACTTATAGTTCCTGAGATAAAATCGTGTTAAGCAATTTGGGGTGATTTATCAATTTTTCGATTTTTCTGAGTGCCTTTTTTCATAGATTTGGGCTTCAAATCTGAGAATAATGTACGATTGCGACAATAAATTCAGAATTTGCGAGCAGTTTGGAGGAATTCGCAGGGAATTTGGAGGAATTTGTGGGGAATTTGGAGGAATTTGCGGGAAGTTCGAGGAATTGTTTGCACAAATTCGGGGAGGGGGTGATTTACCTCTTGAATTCACATCAATACTAAATATTTTTAAATCTAGATATAGTAATTTATCTGAAATACTCATAGGCATTTCTAATTTAACAGAACTTTGGAGTGAAGAATTTCATCTACATTATAAAGACAGAAGAAGAGAAGAGTTAAAAAAACTCAATAGACTTTAAAAACAATCTATTATATTTTATTACAGCTTCATAATAATTAGGAATCAACCGTCAATTAATATATTGCAGAATTTACATTAAAAAACAATCCCAAAAATTATGCAACAATATTGCGTTGGGTTATATAAGAACTGATTTGCATATATTCTTAAAAAAAACTAACTTGTGTTTTGTCATTTGTATCCTTGATTTACCAGGATGTAAATAATAATTAAAAATATCTCTAAGTTAAGTGCATATCCGTGTGTTTTTATTGGTCTACTACAAATCGGAATGATTTTGTATAGCAAAAATAAAAATTGCAATAGTTATTGAGAAATTCGACCGCATTTCTGATGATATCGATTACCTATTAAGATTAAAATGTCTTTTCTTTTAATTGACCATGTTTGCTAATTTTGGGTCTACGATTAATTATGCTGGGGTTATTAAATGACTGGTATAATTAAGTATATTGGCAAAATTTTCCACCATCATCATCCTAATGTTATAGTAATAATTTATTTATTTATTTATGCACAAGACAATTTGGAAAATTTATCTAAAACTATATAGTCTTGATTATTAGTAGAAGGTCTTAATGTGTTGTTCTTTTTTTAAAAAGTTTAGAAGTTGGTTGTTTGGCATTATGATATTATAACAATTTGTTTAATGATGTTAACCTACTAATGACTCATCTCATGAAACAAAAAGATAAATTCCATTAATATTCAGAATTAATAAAGTTCCTATGCATTGTTTCACATTCTGCTAAAAAGTGGTTTCTTTGTCCACAGTTTTTTTTTTAAGTGATTAATGCACCTTTGATATTTCCAAGCGGCTTTTGTTTTTTAATTTCAGATACCTGCATCATTTCTAAAATAAGAAGCGCAGTTTTTTGCCTATTTATCCTATATAACCTTGTAAATAATTATGCATCATCTCAACATTTGGTATCGATTCCATAAATAGCTATAAACCATTGAGGAGGAAATTAATTATATTTTTCTACATGACTTTTATAGACATATAAAACTTTTAACTAGAAAAAATACTAAGTACTTAGATATTTATTTCATGTTTAATTAGGTAATTAAATGAGTTTTAGTTTTATCGTTTTTTAATTAATAATTATTATAAGACATATTGATATTAAGATGTTTTTAAATATTATAAAAATCTATCAATGATTCATACTATAAATTAATGCTAATTAAATGACTCGTTTGAATAAACTTCCTATAAGATAAATAAATGTTATCGCTCATGCACTTAAATAGGAAGTAAGATAAAGTGTAAAATAATTTAGGCCATTGTTGTTTTGTATTTAAAGATAAAAGAGTTTGTGTGCCATGCATTCATTTACAATGAATATATATTTTTTTCTATTCATGGACTCATTCAATAACAATAATAACATTAGCCAGGCATGCACGTCATTTGTTAATAATTGTACTGTTATTATTCTAAAAACTTTATCGTCCTGATAACTATTTGGCATGGAACAATGTGTTATAAATACGGTAATTTGTTTTAATTAACGATCCGTCTTGAAGGCCTGTACACGGTAAATGTAATAGTGGGCCATTTAACCAGGGCAATAATTAAAAACTTCATATACCTAGGTATTTACGTTGATGGACTTCATCCGAAACGTTGACCGAAGGTAAATTTGTGACTCAAAAGAGTGAATTTTCTTTGAGATCTTTCATCTACCTGATATGAGGGGTTATTGTAAAATAACTGTTTTTCAACAGATCTTTTATGATTGAAGAGTCATTGTGTGTCATTCTTTTATCTTCCTCTTGCTCTGAGTCATCTCTGAGAATGAATGGAATCTTGTGAAAATTATTTCGTAATATGAAATATAGCATTGCATAGACATATATTTTTTCAAATATCCATCCAACAATAACAAAATTACAGATTTCTCAACAGCATGATAAATCAAATCTTCTGACACAAGCCCATCATCATTTTTCCACTTTTACTTTCTAAAAACAAGTACCATTATTATGGTAAAATCAGCTGCAAATAATATGGCTTCAAGCTGTATTCTTCAGTTTTGTCAATGCCACGGTTAGATTAGATGGCATAATAATTTATTATGTAGAAAATATTGGAAAAGGTCAAAATCAGAAAAAAGAAAACTTGTTTTTGTTTATTATTTTTTAATGTTTTGGTTGTGCTAAAATAAGCAAATTTAACCATCAATAAAAAATTACCCAACAATTAATCATGTCCGCATTGTGTTATTTTACTGAAGTGTAAATGGTCGTTAATGCAAATTGCGTTTTCTCATTTTTTTTTTCTTCTTCCGCTCACATTGCGGTGTTCATTGACCTATAGGCACGCTTGAGCTGTGGTTAAAACTCAACTTAAACTCTTCGTTGGAATGTTTTAATGATTGTGGTTATTTTTGAAGCTTTATGGTTTTATGCTCAATTACTCTCTAAACTTGATAATTATTTAGATATATTTGACAAAATATGACTGACTAATTGGCCAGAAAGTTTAGTAAACTGCCAACATACAGGTTTTAGAGGACTAGAACCTACGTTACAATATCTATCACGGATTTAAAGATATTGAAGCTTAAAGATTTTGAAATAAAAGCCTCTCTATGAAATAATATCAAATTTCACTCAATTCAATGTTTTTTCCAATCCTATATAGTTCAAGTCGAATTGCTCCTATATGGATTATAAGCAATTGTCAGTGGTTATGTCAGAATTTCAATTCCAGGTTTGTTTTTCTCTGCTACTTTATCAGAGATTTTCAGAATTTCATTATTTCTTGTTCATTATGAAGGCTTGTCTTTTTCCTTTTCTTTGTCTTTTTTTCTTCACATTTCCTCAATATTACTTTCTTTCTCTTGTTCACTTTCTTCCGAAATTGCTGTCACTTTGTGAATTCTGTTTTCCTCCTCACAATTCAACATCTCCCTTTGTGGTTGTTTTTTTTTTTTTTTAATTTCATTTTTCTTCCTATTTTGTCTTCATTATGAAGTCTCTATTTCCTTTTCTATTTTACATTTCTACATTTATATTTTCTATATTCTTTTGTTCACTTTTTACTGCAGTACCGGGTGGTTATCTATATTTTACACCCACACCTATCTCACCTCATTAGAAAGTTTTCAACGATGTTAATTACAAGTATACAGGGTGTATCATAAAAGTGTGGCGAAGCGAAGTTATACTTTTTTAAATGGAAAACCCCGTATATTATTGTTCCATTGGATTAGCCTTTCAAACCTGATTCCAAATATACTAGGTTTTTAAGGTTTATTCCTTATAGTTCAAGAGAAAATAGGATAAAAACCGATGAAATAATTACATATTTTATTAAAAAAGGTGAAGTATAGAAACCACCAGCAAAATATAAAGATAATCATTTATATAAAAAATAAATTTTATATTTTCAAAATGGGATAATCAGAGGCTCGACTATGAG